GATTCTCTATGGCCTATTGAGCAAGTTCAAATTCCTTGGCAGGAGAATCAAAGGTCTGAATCTACCTTTCCCACAATAGCCAGTCACCCTGCCCCTGAGACAAATCTGTTGGCAGGAGAGGCCTCCACTTTGTCTTGATTTTTCTGCGCCTGCCATTACCTTCACTGAGAATCCCTCCCCACACCAATCTCATCCCCCAAACACCATTTTTCAGCAGGGCACTGACAACCTGTGCTTTTGGAAAGTGATTCTGATAGCAGCATGTGGGATGGGTTAGGACAGCAGGACACCAGACAGCAGGTTATTATATTATTATAATACTATAGGAGACATATTGGAAGCGCCTGAAATAACGAATGAAGAAAACGGGATGCATTTTAAAGATTTGGAAAGGACTTGGGGGTGGATTGGTTTTCACTACAACAGCGCTTGGGGGAGGGGAGAGCAAAGAGAGAGCTTATTCATTCATAACTCATTCACGCAAAGGGAGGAGAGTGCCATCTACTGGCCAGACACATTTTAACAAATGTTTTAAGTCACCTTAGTCAGCAAGAGTCTGGCAAGGAGAATTGTATCTTTCTTTTTCAGCCAATGGAGTCCCCACAATATCTGCTTCCAAAGAGCCTTGAAGGTTTTGCTACCCTCACTGTGGATGGTATGATGTTCTATTAACAACATACAATCTCGCCCAGCCGGCTGAGGCTCAGTGGTTGAGCATCGAGCGTTAATTGGGGAGATAGAGGTTTGATTCCTGGTCAAGGCACATGCCCAGGTTGTGGGCTCGATCCCCCAGTGGGGGGTGTGCAGGAGGCAGCCAATCAATGACTCATCATTGATGTTTCTCTCCCTCTCTCTCCCTCTCTCTCTCTCTCCCCCTCCCTTTCCCTTCCTCTCTCTGAAATCAATAAAGATATTTAAAAACACACACACACAAAACAGCACACACACACAATCTCATCCAATCTACAGCTACTGATCACCACATGTTAAAAAATAGGGGTGGCCCATTGAAAAGGGGAAAAAAGAGGCACAACGAGTGAAGTTACCAGTGAGTAATGATATGACCAAAAGGAAAAGAATATTAGACTATGTATGTCTGTCACAGCATTTATTCTCAGACGAGTGACAACCTATGAAGGCAGGGGTTCTCAAAACTGGAGATGGGAGGAGGTACACATCAAAATCAATCATCCTAGGAGCTTTTTCAACACACTGATGCCCCCACCCCAAGGCCCATTCAAAGTCCTGTCTCCTACACAGAGCCATTTTAGATAACTCTTTACCTTTCTAGGCAACCCAAAACTCTTATTGGAACGATTCATTTTTTAAAAATATATCTTTATTGATTTCAGAGAGAGGAAGGGAGAGGGAGAGAGAGATATTGACAGGCTGCCTCCTGCACGGCCCCCACTGGGGATCGAGCCTGCAACCCCAGCAACATGCCCTGACCCAGAATCGAAACTTGATCTCCTGGATCCTAGGTCCGTGCTCAACCGCTGAGCCATGCCGGCTGGGCTGAACTATTCCTTTTGATTCCTGTGTGTATGCAAGTGTGGCCTTTATGTAGAAAATGTCATATACAGTACTGTAAGTGTTTCACCTGTTCTCCAACTCCCCAACCTGATGGTAAGCTTCCAGAGGAGACAGACCATGTCCTCCTATCTGTGTCATTTGGAAAACGTGGCCTAGTGTGAGGGATACTGTAGGGACCCAATAAATGTCTATTGAATGTATGCATATATTAGTTTAGGGTTCTCAACTTTGGCACAATTGACATTTGGTACCAGATAATTCTTTGTTGTGGAGGTTAGTGTGGGATTTTTAACAGGATCCCTGCTCTTTACCCTCTAAATATGTAGCAAACCCTACCTCCCCCCCCCCACATACTTATTACCAAATACAGTGCTGATTATGGAGGGGAGAACTCCTGCAATGGAAAACAACTATATTCATTAATCTCATCTAAATGTTTAGCTAAATCAGATCTAAGGAGAAAGGGAGTAACAGTGATGTAAAGATATCCCTTTGTCATTATCATGCTCTGCTTTATATTACTAAAATAGCCCTTGATAAAGGGCTCTACCTTAACCCTGATCACTTGGTTAATGTCTGCCAACTTTTCCATTGTAAAGTTACCATTTCCCCCTTTCCATACTTCATTCTTTGCAAGTGAGTCGTTAAGTGCAGCCCACACTCAAGGGAACCCCACCTCCTTCAGAGAAGAGTATCTACATATGTCATAGGGAATTCTGCAAGATTTGTTCCTCTCCCCTCATTTATTTATTCATTTGATTATTTATATCAATGTGGACTCCTGCATATTTATTTTATACTTGAGTTATAATTCTACACTACATTAATTTTGTTGCTCAAATTGTTCCAGCTTTGGCAATTCGTAGCTCCTGCTGTCTGGCTCCTGTGTCCTTTTAACATGCCCCCTTTCGAGGGGCGACTTTTGAAAATCAAATGTTATCCTTTGCGATTAATTTTTATTGTATTAAATAGTTTAATTCCAGCAAAGTCTAGGTCTGTGTATGCTTCTGTGTGTGAGTGTTTTATACACCTGTATGTCAGACCTTGTTAGGTGCTAAGCAAATGTTAAATGCATTCTTAATAAAACTAAGCAAAGTTAAGTCCCAAGGCAATTCTTATGTGTAGACCCGTGTACCAGGCCTCTATTAAATAGAGAATGCCTTTGATGTGTAATTGCTTATACTGTGCAGTAAATGCTCATAAAATAAAAATTAATTGACAATGATGTGCTACAGAATGCTTCACACACACAAAAAGAAAACCTGGAGGTTCTGTGGCCAAAGTTATAGTTTTGTCTTTTTTTAAATAAATAAGCTAATAACAAATTTATCAAAGTTTTACTTTTTATTGCATTAGCTATTTTTACAGAAATTGGCAAAATATTGGAATGTTTTGAGATGAATTATGATAGATAACCTATACTCACTGGAGAGAAATTTTAGGGATGAAAGAAACCATTGTCCTTGATCCTGAGTGTCCTTTAAAAGGAGGCAACTGTGTGACCATAATTTATTATAGTTCTTTAATGCCAAAGCCTATTTAACCTAGTATCACAGAATGATGCCGACACATTTGGAAAGAATATTTCTCACTTATGCAATGCCATAGAGATGTAATGTAATTTGACTTTTGATGGAACATTTTAAAGTTACCAGTGAGAAAAAGAGGGAATTATGTTTGCTTATTAAGTATATGTAATCATTTATATCAAAACCAGTTTAAAAATTGCTTATGTGACCCTGGTGGGGTAGCTCAGTTAGTTAGAGCATCGTCCTGATACACCAAGGTTTGGAGTTTGATGTATGGTCAAGGCACCTACAAGAATCAACCAATTAATGCATCCATAAGTGGAACAACAAATCAGTGTTTTTGTTTCTCTCCCCCCTTCTCTCTCTCTCAATAAATAAATCAATAAATAAAAATTGCATAGGTGACTGTAGTTAGGCTGAACACTGGCCTCCAAAGATAACAGATTCTAAGCCCTAAAACCTGAAAATACTACCTTATTGGAAAAAGGGTCTTTGCAGATGTGATTAAGTATCTGAGATAAGGAGATTATCCTGAATTATCAGCGTGGGCCCTGAATACAATCCCAGGTGTCGCATAAGAGAAAAGGTAGAGGGAGATTTGACACACACAGAAGAGAAGGCAATGTGACCAGGAAGGCAGAGATTAGAGCTCAGAGGCCACAAACCAAGGAATGCCCACAGCCACCAGAAGCTGGAAAATGCAAGGAAGGAATGTCCCCTAGAGCCTTCAGAGGGAGCATGGCCATGCTGTACCTTGATTTCGGCCCAGTGATTTCAGACGTCTGGTCTCCAGATTGTGCGAGAATCACTTTCTGTTGTTTCAAGCCCCTAACTTTGTGGTTATTTGTTACAGCAGCGAGAGTAAATGAATATAATGCTATACTTACGACTTTGTTTACCTGACATAACTGCACTTAACATGAAGAACTTCTACACAGGACCAATTTGGGGAAACAAATATTTTACACACACATCAGGAACGTTTCTGTAACGTAAGCCTAGTGGCTTTCAATACCATCAGTATGGTGAGAATTCCTAACTTTAAATCTCTAGCCCAAATGACTCCCCTTACTTTACCACTCTTCTTTCTGAATAAACTTTTTTCCAATCAGTATTTCATCCTACCTTTTACATTCTTTATTCTCCCACTGCCAATATTTCACTTCTGAAACCAAATTCTTTCTAACAAAGTCACAAATCTGAATCTCAGACTCATCCATATAAAGGGCTTATAAAGAGCCCGTCTGTACTACGGTGCTCACATCTATTTTTCCTCTGCCCCATTGGCCAGACTTTTACTGAGTTCCTTCTTTACTTCACTTTAATTTTCTTTGTTTCCTTTGCAAGCTATCCCTAGATTTCAATTTGCCTTCTCTTTTTTTGTTTGTTTGTTACCTCCAAGCTTAGGGAGATCGGGCTGCAGTTTGGTGTGGGAGTCGACTAGAGTTCTCGCCACCTATCTGCCTCTTTCTCAGACGCCTCACGCTCCTATTTCAGAGTTCTGGACACCATAACCCCGGTTTCCTCTACCGCACCTCTGTTAGTTTTTGTCTTTTCAAAGTCTTCTCACAAAACCTCGACCTCCCATATTACTTATGCCAAGCGATTCTTTTTGAAGTTTTAATATGGGCTAAAATTCCTAAGAATTCTTCTGTGCAACAGTGGAAGATCCCCCTTTCACACAGTCAGAACTTTACCAAGAGGTTCTCCGCGATTTTGGAAAATTCAGGCCACCAAGCAGAAAACCCCTGTGAGGCCGGAGGAGCCCACAGAACACACCTACTGCCATGGCAGCGTTTACCTCAGCAGCGACTGGTGATGCCGACAGGCAAGTGACGCTTTGTATCTTCTACTGCACATATGTTCTAGCTTTTGGATCTCAAAAGACATATTTTGCTGTTTTGCAATGAATGTAAAAACGAAAACGAACCCACATACTTTACTTGAGCCGCTGTCACATCTTCGTTTATGAAGTTTCATTGATCCCACGAATTAAGCCGCCGAGATGCCCAACCAGGTGGGACCCCCAGAACTTTTTTTCTTTGGGGTTTACTTCAGCCCGCTCCTACAGAGATGAGAAAACCGAGATTTGAGGAAAGTGAAGCGACTTGCCCACGGCTCTGAGATACTATAACATGGCAAAAACGGGGCCGTAAGAATAAATGGGAAGGCCTATTCCGCGACAGTTTTCCTCACCGCAAATTTTAGATGAGAAGTCAGTCAGTCAGTCACCGGAGACAGAACCGGACCTCGACGGCAGGGGTGAGCCCCGCCCGTCGCTCCGCCCCCAGGCTGCCCGCGGCACTGCCTGACTGGAGGCCAGCGCAGGGGGCCTCGTGGGGTCCTTCGCGCGGGCTCCGGACGCACTGCCTGAGCGGTTGCGCAGGCGGCTTCCGGTGTGGGTGACGAGTGGTGGCCGAAGCAGGGGGCATCAAGGGACGCTCGGGCAGGGACCATGGCGGACGGCGGTTCGGAGCGGGCTGATGGGCGCATCGTCAAGATGGAGGTGGACTACAGCGCCACGGTGGATCAGCGACTGCCCGAGTGCGAGAAGCTGGCCAAGGTGAGGGGAGGCCGGCTGTCTGTTGGCGGGCGCCAGGGGCTGAGTCACGGCGCTGAGCCTGTTTAGGCCTCAGGGGGCCTTAGGGCTGAAGCGCGCATCCCCTGCCCGGGTTGGGCCTGCCTGAGTAGGACACCCCAGGTCCACCTGATCAGGGAGGCTCCAGGCGGGGTATGCTGGTGCATACAGCCTTCCAGACCCTCCCCGGGACAGATGGTCACTTCCTCCCGGTAGGAGTTGGGGCCGGATAGTACTTTTTGCTTTTTCTTGGATACTGTTTAACATTTACTTGGGTTAAGGCCGCGTCAGCATTCATGCTGGATCAGGGAGTTTCGTTCTACTGCGGAATCAATTTATGTCAAGTTGTTTATGGATCGTGGCGATGTGCCTGGCCTTTGGCCAGGCAAAGGGGCTAGGAAAGTGATAGTACGAGGTGATTAACACAGGATTTCTGTCCTGGGGGAGTTCGTGTACATAACGAATTAGACAAGTCATGCCTGGCGATGAATGCCATACGAGTATAAACAGAGTGTTACTGGAACACAGAGAAGGAAGCTGTTCATTCTTACTGGTGGGATAAGGGATGGTTTTACAGAGAAGTGAATGCTCATGTTGGGCATTGAAGAATGATTAAGATTGGGAAGGAGTCATTCCTGCAGCGGGAACTACATAAGTAAAGACAAATAGACACTAAAGTGCAGAATAACCTAATTAGAGGAGTTCTTGAATAGTAGTTTAGCCCAGTTGTTTATCTCCCATAGGATAGAAATTTAACTTCATCCACACATTTGTCACGCCCCCTGCGATGTGTCAGGCAACTTTGTGTCATTTTACATATAAAGAAACCAAGGCTCAGAGTTGTTTGTCAAACGTTACAGTTATTAATAGGTAGAACCAGGGGTTCAAAACCTGGTGTGTCTGACTAGGGTATAGGTGGTTGTTGAATCAGCTCCATCGTGGGCTGTTGCTAAGGCCTCATTATGCTCAGGGCTCATTAAGTTCCTTGATCAGTCTCCAGCCACAGACATTTATTGCTATCCACCTGGGATGCATTCACTAATAGGGTTGTTTTGTTCCCTACAGAGCTTACTATGTAAGTCCATTAAAGTGTAACAAGTTCACGGACAGGAGGAGTGTCAGCTAATACTTCACGTTTAGTTTCAGAAAGAACCCTTTTTAATGCTCACCCCCGTTTTTTTCCAAAAGAGAACTTCATGGGGCTTTATAAAAAACAAGGATAGGGAAAGATGATTAAGTTGATATACATGTAATAGGTTCAGTACATTATATGGAGGGGAACTGTAAATTCATCTCTGAGCTTTCTAGTGGAGTGTAAAGAAACATCATCAGTTACTTAAGGGTTGGAAAATTCAAACACCTGTAGTGCCAGAGAGATAACGATAGCTGACATTTATGGAGTAGTTTCTGCAGTGCCAGGCACTCTTCTAAATGCTTACATGCATTAACTCATTTGCTCCTCACCTTAGCCCTATGTGATAGGTATTGTCGTTGTTGTTGTTGTTATTATTTCATAGATGGCAGGCAGAAGTTGAGTCACGTGCTTCGAGGTCATACAGGTAGTAAAGTGATGGGGCCAGGATGCAAATCCAGCAGATGTATTCTAGAGCTTGTGCTCTCACCATGCTGTCCTGCTTAGTGTGCCATGTGTAAGGAAAACCTGAACTTCTGAACACTTGCCCAGGGAAAAGGGCAATAACTCTTTGCCTCCAGTTAACCGTTGCCAGTTGCGGATGGAGGCGAGGCCTTGTCAACTCTTCTATTTTGAGGGAGAAATAAAACATACCTACAGGCCAAAGTCACCCCTGAACTACCACTTTGGAATTAGTAGAATGACAGGGTCCATAAAGAAGAAACCATTTCCTTTAAAGAAGTACAGCCATTCTAGCCTTGGCCATTGTGGGTCAGTTGGTTGGACGTTGTCCCCTGCACCAAAAGGTTGCTAGTTTGAATCTCTGTCAGGGCACATGCCAGGGTTAGGGAGGGGGTGTACAGGAGGCAGCTGATTGATGCTTCACTCTCATATCAATGTTTCTCTCTCTCTGCCCCTCTTCCTCTCTCTCTGAAAATGAATAAATTTTTTTAAAAAGTACAGCTGTTCTAGAACTGAGACCTGGGAGAAGAAAAAATCTTCCCTTTATCCATGTCTTCTGATAGTCTACTGTGTGCAAGACCTAGTCATTGCTAGACATTGTGGAGGGTATAAAGATTATTAGAAAAGCTCTTACCCTCAAGTAGGTTCAAGTAGGTTATGGGCTAATAAGAAAAAATATTTCACTACTACGATTCTAGTGATTATATGTGTGACATTTATTCAGGATGTTATGTACAAGACAGTTGAAAAGATTTGCAACTCTAGCCAGATGTCATTTTAGTTGTCAGATGGAACAGAAATGTTTAAAATAGGGAATGTTGGGGCCTTTTAAACTAAATAAAATTAAAGGCACTTGGATTCTGTGGGTTTTTTTTAAGCCAGCACACCAGTTGAACAAAACAAGGTGTAGGTGTGGATTGCCTTTATTGGGGGGAGGGGAGAGCTTGGAGATGGTGGGGTATTTGGTTTTTATTTATATAGACCCACAGCTTTTAACTTTTGGGTTAGATGGTTGTCTTACAGTCCTAGTTAACTTTTTTAAAGGTATGTCTCTCTGTTTTGCAATTTATTCATCATTTTATATTATTTTTCTAACCATTCTGTTAAACATAAGAAAATACTTATTTAGCATTGCATTTCTACATTGGAACATATGGAACGTTTAAGCATACATTGTTTTGTTTTTTATTTTGAACCCATCAAAACTGAAGAAAGTTTTTCATTTTACTTGTGAGAAAACTAAGGTTCAGGCAGCTGAAGTGGTCTACAGCAGAGCCGGATCCAGCTCAGGTCTCCTGGGAACACACATAGTGTTCTTTCTGCCACATACCACAACCTCTTTAAGGGACTATCACTTTAGTGCTTACTTTCCTTAAAAAACTTTTTATTTATTTTATTTTTTTTAATTTTTTTTTTATTGATTTCAGGGAGAGGAAGAGAGAGAGAGAGAAACATCAATGAGGAGGGTCATCGCTCGGCTGCCTCCTGCACGCCCCTCACTGGGGATCGAGCTGCAGCCCGGGCATGTGCCCTGACTGGAATCTAACCGTGACCTCCTGATTTATAGGTCGATGCTCAACCACTGAGCCATGCCAGTCGGGCAAGAAACTTTTTATTTTTAATGTAAAAGACATTTGAAGATGAAAATTATATGTGTATAGAGACTGATAAAGATGTATCAGGTGAGAAAACCATGTGTGGCAGAAGCCTTCAAAAGGTGGAATGAAGTCTAGATCTGGGTAGTCAAATTGCCAAATCTAGGCCATTCAAATCTCCTACAATTATGACCTGGTACAGTTCTGTTTCTGTGTCCTGACACTCACCTAGCAAATAATAATAACTAATATTTACTGCTGTGTAAGTTCTATATAATGCTAGCTATGATTATGATGATTATGTTCATGTTATGTTCCAGGCATATATCCAGTTGGGAGTTAAAGGATGAACATAGGCATACAGAACTTACAGATACCCCACACGTACTGATCTTAAACAAACTCCTTAGTCATTTATCTCATTTGCAAGGATTGTTTTAATGAGAAAAATGATTCACAAAAGTCACATGTTCCAACAAGTTGGTTTTGATAGCTCTGGCCATCTTGTTCCTCTGAGTTGAAAGGCAGCATTGAGGAGGTGGAATTTCAAGAACTTGTGATTAGATAGGGAAGGAAGGAGGAAGATGTTTAGCATAGGATTGAACATAGAAGGTAGGGGGTGGAAAGTGGGATGATTAGAGAATTGGGAATTGTATTTAATGAAATTAGTGGTAATCTCCCTCAAGTAGCACTGAGTTGTTAGCCATATAACTTGTCACATTCTACTTACTGTGATAGTAAGAATCAGGAATTGTAAGCCATTAAGATCAACTGAATAGTTAAGGTCAATGTCAAGACATTCAGTGCATACTATGTGCAATTGGTGTGCGGGAAACAACAATTAGTTAAACGAGGTTCAGCCCTAGAGGAACTTACAGACCACTTAGGAGGTAAGACATGCACATTAATAACTGGCACAGGTATAAAGGGATATACCATAATATCTATAGAAGCAACATTATGTGCTTGTCCAGGTACAGAGCATTGAACTACAGTGGTCAACAGTATAGACACTGTCCCTGCTCTTAGAGAGTTTGCATTCTAGTGAGATTACAAAGACAGTAAACATTAAAATAGAACAGAGTTGGGGGTCATTGCAAAGAAGAAACTCAGTGGACTTGAGTGTTAAAGGAGGTGCTGAGTGACTATTGATTTTAGAGAGCATTATCTGAGAACATCTTTGTGAGAAGGTGGCATTTAATGTTTCATTGATACATGCAGACCATTGCTCTAGAGCAGTATGTGATTCCCTCAAACATGTAGGGTTCAGTTCTTTGAAAACCATAGTTCTGAATTTGAATGCCAGATAGTAAACTATACTCGGTCTATCACAGTCATGTGACTAACAGTAATTGGAAAAGCAACAGGAAGTGACCATGAATAAACAGTTATTTTGCATTTTAACTATTTTGGCACTACATTTTGTTGCCAGATGGTAACCATTTCCCTACAGAGATTACTTTGATCAAAGCAAAGGCAGCAAAAGCTTGATTTAAACTAATATTGTTTAGTTTAGTGAAGGGAACATTGGACCAGGAAATAAGAGCCCTGGGCTCTGGTTCTGCTGGTTAGTTTTGTGGCTGAGCTGGTTGCTCCCTCAGTTCTTTTACTCTCTAAAGTAAGATGATTGGATTAAATAATGTCTGCCAGTCTTTCCAGTTCTAATATTCTTTGATATTTTATTATTCATTAGCCTTTACTTTGGAGAACTTATAGATTTTTTATTTATTTGTTTGTTTGTTTATCTATTTATCTTTGCCCTTACCCTAGGATATGTTTATTGATTTTAGAGAGAGAAGAGAGGAGAGAGAGGTAGAGAGAGAGAGAAACATTGATGTGAGAAAGAAACATCTATTGGTTGCCTGCCGTATGCACCCCAACCTGGAATCAAACCTGTGACCTTTGGTGTGTGGGACAACATTCCAGCCAACTGAGCCACCCAGCCAGGGCCATAGATGTGGTTTCTGTTCTTCAGCCAGCATTTACTGTATATGTAATCTATAGCACTCTCAGAACTGGTGCTCCCCTTTGCATAGGAAACATTGTTAAAATGTTAGTAATTGTACATGTTTCAGATACCATTAAAATAAATTCAAACAATGGCTTTGCAGTACATATTCTGCTGCATAGAAAGTTCATAGTTTAAAAGTTGCCTTGGGAAACACGGAAACAGTATTTTTTGAAAAGTCCAGTTACTTGTACCCTTAATTCAAAAGCTGTTTAATTCGTGTCTTTCATCAGTAAAAGTGTATTCATATGCTGTCCCTGAATGTCATTAAATTAAAAAAAAATTATTTACAGCTAGAAAAACAATTTCTAAATAAAACCTGCCTCAGTGCTCCCAGTTCACTTATTGTTATTAATATCAGTATCATAAATGTAGATTTTGTGCTGCGGGTTGGTTTTGTTTTTAGCAAAATTCGGGGTTCCTAATAGGATGGCTTATTTTAGTCCTGGCGTATTATCATTTAAGTTTATATTATTTGAATTTTGTTATTTTTTCATTTCTTAATATGTCCCAGGGAGAATGTCTTGTTTTTGCATATGAGGTAGAGGTTATTATCAGGAGGCAGAAAGGGATCATGATTTTGGGCATAGCAAGTGTTGTATTACCAAGTGGTCTTTAGTCCTCTTCAGCACAGTTATTTATTTACTTATTTTTATTATTGATTTTAGAGAGAGGAGTGGGGGGGAGGGAGAGAGAGAGAGAGAGCGAGCTGCCTCCCACCTGAGGCCCAACCAGGGATCAAACTCACAGCCCTTTGGTGTGCGGGACGACACTCCAACCAAATGAGCCACACCAGCCAGGGCTGTTATTTATTTTTAAAGTAATTTAACCAGGGTTTCTTATCTTTTTACCACCAAATATCCTTTATATTTTCTCCTCAAAACTGAATGTTTTAAAATGTTATGGTAATTTATAAAGAAATCACTCATCTTCCCATTTTTATTCTTTAAAGACTGCCAGTTAAGAATCTCTGTTTAGAACAAGATAAATAGATGTTACCACACTGAGTTGATAAATTAGAATCCAAAACAAAGACTTGATGTTTTGCCTAAGTGTTAAATCATCGTCATTCTGTATTCAGTTTCTCTTAGGTACTTGAAATGTTAAAGATAGCTTATGATCCCCAAGTTGGAAACCACTGCCTTGTGGAACCCATTGGAGAAGCGAGCACTATCATGAAAAGTACGGAAGTGGTTATGGAGTGGTCCTTTTCCTCTAAAATAGGCTTTCGTTTTTCTTTTCTTGTCAGAAACGTCTCATTTTAACCTAGTTATTTGGTTTTGTGTTGATGGTGGTATTTTCATTGTTCATTTTGATCTTCTGTTTTAGGAAGGAAGACTTCAAGAAGTCATTGAAACCCTTCTCTCTTTGGAAAAACAGACCCGTACTGTGAGTAGATCATAGCGAAAAACCTCAGTTACTAATAATTTTATTTAACATGCTTCCATTAACTTTGGATATATTTTCATTTTTATAGGCTTCTGATATGGTGTCTACATCTCGTATCTTAGTTGCAGTAGTGAAAATGTGCTATGAGGCTAAAGAATGGGATTTACTTAATGAAAATATTATGCTTTTGTCAAAAAGGCGGAGTCAGTTAAAACAAGTAAGTTCATGATTGCACAAAAACAAATACATAAGGACTGTTAGAAAACCTTTCTGTGAATCTGTTTTAAATCTGTTAAGTCAACTTCATAACATTCTAAAGGGGTTTTTGTGGTTTTTTTTAAATATATCTTTATTGATTTCAGAGAGGAAGGGAGAGGGAAAGAGAGGGGTAGAAACATCAATGATGAGAGAGTCATTGATCGGCTGCCTCCTGCACACTCTCCACTGGGGACCGAGCCCGCTACCCGGGCATGTGCCCTGACCGGGAATCGAACCTCGAGCTCCTGGATCATAGGTCGATGCTCAACCGCTGAGCCACGCCTGCTGGGTTCTAGAGAGTTTTAAAAATTTCTGTCTATATTCTCATAACTGCTTTTATTTTTGTTTTTTCTTCTAGTCTTTATATATTTGCATATTTTTATAAAATTGTAGTGAAAGTGTTGATATAGCTTTGTTCTATTTCCACAATGCTCCATATCTTCATGTTTATTATTTTAAATAATTGTGTTATAATCATTTTAAAAGGTTTGCTGATCCCTGACTTAGATGGAATGTTAGAACTGGAGGAAATGTCATCCAACCTGCTTATATTACTTGTGAGGAAACTGGGCAAGAGATGCTGCTCCTTTCACTGTCACATTTTATAGGGATGAGTATAGGTGACTGTGGCTCCTCCTCCCCACCCAGATGATGGAACTGTTTTACCTTCTGCTTCTGCCACTGACTCTTTTTTATTTAGTCATTTTATCTGCTCGTCATTTCTTCACTGCTCTTACAGCCAAAGTTGAACTCTGCTTTTCTCTGTTCATTATCATCATTATTATTATTATTTTTACCTTAGTCTGTTTTCATTTCTTTCATACATTTCTGCTTAGGTGAAGAAAAAGCTAGCAGTCAGGCCTTCCAAGACATGCCCCTTCCACCTTCCCTTTTGTGTAATCAGCCCACCAGTTACAGTGGGGAGGGGGACAGCCTTGCATCTGAGGATTTCCCAGCCTTTATTGATTTGTTCCTGGGTTCTCGTTCCTTCTTAGCTGTCGGAGGTTTTGATGCTCTTTTAGAGGCATCTCAGTGTGTGGAGTTGCTGGCGAAGACCAGCCTTAACCACAGCACTTCCTTCAATAATGTAGTTACTTTTCCTGTATGAGGAATGAACAATTTTTATTATTTTAGGCTGTTGCCAAAATGGTTCAACAATGCTGTACTTATGTTGAGGAAATCACTGACCTTCCGATCAAACTTCGATTAATTGATACTCTGCGAATGGTTACGGAAGGAAAGGTGAGTTATCTGTTGGCATGAATCACAGTGATAAGTACTCTCTTATTTATACTCAGAGATACTTAAATACTTAGACATTTTATATTAGTTTGTAAAAATAAGGTTAATTCTTCACCCTGGCCTAAATCTGCTTGAAAAGTCTGTGTTTGGGATAACTAAGGTTTCACTGTAATATTTAAATTATTAGACTATTTCCAGTGTGAGGTTAATTTTCAAAATTTCACTGTGATGTCCTTTCCCCCCAATGCCCCAATGTCATATTTCTCTAAGAAAGGGCAAGTACAAAATGGTGACTGTGGTGGATATGTTTCTTTCTAGACAGATTTTTGTGATTTGAAGACAAAAGTTTAGCTTGTATTTAACTTTGTTTTTTTAACTGTCAGTTCAGTTCAGTAAATGTTATTGAGGGCCTGTGTTAGGCCCAAATGTGCTAGGTCCAAAATGCACAAGAACTATTCTTTTACCTCAGATCAATCCTAGAAATAATTCCTGGGCCCTGTCATGACAGTAGCAGTGTGCCTGTAGTTCCCTGTAGCACAGAGGTAGGGCTTCACTGGCTGAGGTGCCCAGGGAAGCCTCAAGGAGTTGATGATGGCTGAGCTGGCTTTTTAAGAATGAATAGAAGGTCCACAGGGCATTTTACACATAGGGAAAATAATATACAAAGATATCAAAGTAAAAAACACCTAGTATATTTAGGGAACTGTAAGTCATTTATTATTGGAGATTAAGGTTTTGGGGGATTGAGTGGGGAAAAGGGGTTGCTGCAGGGCAAAGGCTAAACGGGTAAGCTATAGCATGAACATTAGTTTCCTAGGCTCTGTAAGCTATGTAGTTATATTTTTAAAGTTTAATTTGTTGGAAGTTTCAAATCCACTAATATTACGTATAGCTACAAAAAAATGCTAGTAACTTTAATACTTAGCAAGAGCAGATACTTTTAAAGAAATTAGCCCTGTATTTATTTATTTTATTACATTTATTGGGATGACATTGGCTAATATGGTATGTAGGTTTCAGGTGTGGGTTTCTGTGTTACAAGATCTGTATATTGCACCACCTTAGCCTTGTATTTAAAGATAAACCAGCTTAGAGTATTGGTTGAATTGTAGCTACTGGACTGCATATGCTCTTTGTGAAGGGTGTTATTTTTCCAGTAATCAGTTCCTTTAAAGGTACTTTTTGTTTTCGGTGCCATTTATGTAGCATGTGGTTCTGTTCCTTACACGGCTCCGTTTGTACATGGGGGTTAAAGTGCACGATGACACCAAGATAAATACTCTACGCCTAGTTTGAATAACAGTTCAGTTGTCTTTTAAATTTAAACACATTTCTGTAGGAATTTTGATGATAATAAATATCTTGTCTTTGTAGATTTATGTTGAAATTGAGCGAGCTCGACTGACTAAAACATTAGCAACTATCAAAGAGCAAAATGGTGACGTCAAAGAGGCAGCTTCCATTTTACAAGAGTTACAGGTAAGGTGCTGCATTCTAGACTGTGTGAAACTTTGTTTGGTCAGCAGTATTTTCCTGTGGAAATAGCTTATTTTGGCACTTTATTTTTTCTAAAGCACCAAAATTAAGAGTGAGGACAGTAGAGTATGAGGTTATTAAAGTAGCTGGAAGTAGAATAATTGTGATCCCAAATAAATTGAACTGCTAAAGAAGTTCTGAAGAAAAATTAAGATCAACACTTAATCTTGATTTCGTGCTATTATTTGAACATTTTTAATTCTCCTCAATTTAAATGAAATCAGTAACTCACATACTATTTATTTATACCTTAGAAATTTGCAATTATTGGTTTTATTCTTAATGAATATTTGATTGGTGGTCAATTTCTAGGCTAAATTGGTTTAACAAAAAAGTTGCCTTATAATTTGCCATGTTTCAGGGCAGTTTTTAAGAGAGACCTTAAAATGAGACAGCAAAGAGCTAAAGAAATCTGAGAAAAACCATAAACTCTCAACAGAAAAATGTACATGAACTATGCTCAAAATTTAGCTTACAGTTTTAGCCCTTCAAGGGCACCGCAGTAAGTTAAATTGATTATTCTAGCTTTTCAATCATGTACCTTGTCCATTTTAGCTAAAGGAAGGGATAAGGCTGGAAGGCTCTTGTGCTCTATACATTCTCATTTTGTTGTTGTTATTTAAACATGTCCTGTTCTCCCTGTATACATTATCTCATTTAATATCCACACACAACACTATTTTTATCCCATTTTCAGCCAAGGAAACTGACCGAGATTCAAAAAAGTTATGTGACTTAGCCCTGGTCAGGTAGCTCAGTTGTTTAGAGCATCGTCCCAGTACGCCAAGGTTTCGGATGTGATAGAATTGTTCTGTATCTTGGTGGTTACACAAGTTTATAAATGCGTTACAATTCATAGAACTTTACACCAAAGAGAAAATTTTTATTTTACTATGTAATTTCCTGGAAGAAACTGGCTTTTTCTGTCATCATCAGTGCTCTCTCTAAATGTGTGAAAGTTGTTATTATTTATCTAGGGTGAATATTTTAATATACATTTAATTTTGTTGCAGTTTTAAAATATTATAAATTAATTTGGGGGCTTACTCTGCTAGGTGGAAACCTATGGGTCAATGGAAAAGAAAGAGCGAGTGGAGTTTATTTTGGAGCAAATGAGGCTCTGCCTAGCTGTGAAGGATTACATTCGTACACAGATCATCAGCAAGAAGATTAACACCAAATTTTTCCAGGAAGAAAATACAGAGGTAAGCATATTTCTCAATATGAATTTACTTTAAAATTGTTTAGGGAAAAACCCCCATAAACTGCAATTTATTTTGTGAACTTTTTTTTTCAGAAATTAAAGTTGAAGTATTATAACTTAATGATTCAGTTGGATCAACATGAGGGCTCCTATTTGTCCATCTGTAAGCATTACAGAGCAATATATGACACTCCCTGTATACAGGCAGAGAGTGAAAAGTGGCAGCAGGTAAGGACAATCTTAACTTGACCTTGGCACTTAGTAGGAACAATCTGCATTTTTAAATTTTATTATGAAATAATCTTGAACAATAATTATATGCAGTGTTATAATGCTGCTTGTATTCACTGCTTCGATAATTCAGTTTATCCTTAGTGATTCGGACGAATGGTGATAATACTTTATTTATTACCTTGAAAGAAATAGGCTTACTATTAAAAAATATGTACAGCAGGTCACCTACCAACAAGGTTACAGATAAAGAGCTAGCATTACTTTGGAAAATTATTTTACAAAAACGATTTTAAATAGCTTATTTGTGCATTCCATATGATTTTGTTATAAATAGCCCAGGTAGTAATTAAAATTAGCAAAGATTTACTGTAATAATTTTATGAAAACTAAATATTACAGAAAGGCATGAAAAGAGCAGCTTGGCAAGGTTTTTTTTTCCTCCTAAGACTTTTGAGTAGAATGTTAAAAATGAATATATGCAATTATTTGATTTTTCAGTTCCTGACAAAGTTTTCATTTTGTTTCTAATCTTGCATATAACCTGTTGTGTTGTACAACCTTTTTAGGCTCTGAAAAGTGTTGTCCTCTATGTTATCTTGGCTCCTTTTGATAATGAACAGTCAGATTTGGTTCACCGAATAAGTGGTGACAAGAAGTTAGAAGAAATTCCTAAATATAAGTAAGTACCTTTATAATTAGTTTAGTATACCTCAGTAGAAGCACCATTTTGAAAAAAAATTGGTTAACCTAAGGGTACACTTAATTGGTTGCTGATAGATTGTATTATAGAATAAAACTAGATATAATAGTGAAATGTTTCTTATAGTTCTGCATTAGAAATTAATGTAATGAGATGATTCCACACTTCACTCTAAACCACTTATCAAGTAGAAGTTTTATTTCAAGCTAATTTTAGCAGCTTTTGTTTAATGAAGTTTTTACCTTCAGTAGTTGGGGCTTTGTGATTTTTCTGAAGTACCTACTTCTGAAAACCTATTATATAAAACTAGACGTACACGTTGTCATAAGCACAGTGGGTTTTTACTTTTTTAAGCTATTTTTCTTTTATCTGGTTCATTATCTATAACAAAAGGTTACAGTCATTAGTCCAGAGATTGGCAAATGCAAGATAGGAGAGCGCAGAATGGCAAGCACAGGAACGCTGTATTCAGAATTACTGTGGGGAAATGGTAGCAAAATTGGTAACGTTCGTAATAATCCACTCGGTTCTTATTCTGCAAATAAAAATATTTTTAAAAAACGGTCTTTGTTGGTATTTAAAACCTTGCTATTCTATTGGATGAAAGTTATTTTACAGATTTGAAATATTAAGTTTTATACCATTTACAGGGACCTTTTAAAGCTTTTTACCACAATGGAGTTGATGCGTTGGTCTACACTTGTTGAAGACTATGGAATGGAATTAAGAAAAGGTTCTCTGGAAAGTCCTGCAACTGATGTTTTTGGTTATACAGAAGAAGGTGAAAAAAGGTGGAAGGACTTGAAGAACAGAGTTGTTGAACATGTAAGAATCTGGCATGGTAGAGATGCCAGTTTAGAAGTCAAGTTTGGTGAATCTGAGCATAAGCTTTTATTTTTTATGTTTGATAATCAAATGTGTTAGCATGCTTCGTTTTGAGAGCACCTCTCAAGAACCCAAAATTTTGTAGTACGTATACCAGAAGGAATTTTTTTTTTTAATATATCTTTATTGACTTCAGAGAGAGGAAAGGACAGGGAGAGAGAGAGAGAAACATCAATGATGAGAGTCATTGATCAGCCGTCTCCTGCACGCCCCCTGCTGGGGATCGAGCCTGCAACCCGGGCATGTGCCCTGACCGGGAATCAAATCACGATCTCCTGGATCCTAGGTCGATGCTCAACCATTGAGCCACGCCTGGCCAGGCCCAGAAGGAATTTCTTAATGTGAGGGTTGATGGGCGTTGGGAGTGTTTTCTATCTGGTACTCACTTGGTAGTTTTAGAAATGGGTAACATATCTTAAACCTGACCTTTGACCTTCTTGGCGTCACTACAGGTTGAATTATGCCAACATTCATTCGTAGAGCACATATTTACTGTGAACCTTCTGTGTGCCAGACAGACGCATGGGAGAATAAGACATGGCCCCACCTTCAAAAAGCTTCAGCCAGCTGAGCCATACTGGTCAGGGCTCTGGTTACAATCTTTAATCACTAGTTTATTTAAGGCAATTCTATATTTTGACCATATATATTTTAAGAGAGTTGTGGAGAGTACTCAGAATAACTTACAAATAACTGCGGAAACCAAAATATTTCAATATTTACTTTTATTATGGAAGTTTAGAACCAGCATCATTCCAGTGTGAGCGATGGAAAAAATAAAAGCTCTGAGTCTGACATTTTTTTTAAAATATGTCTTATTGATTTCAGAGAGAGGAAAGGAGAGAGAGAGATAGAAACATCAATAATGAGAGAGTCATTGATCGAGTCCACAACCCGGGCATGTGCCCTGACCGGGAATCGAACCCGATCGCCTGGATCCCAGGTCGACGCTCAGCTGCTGAGCCACGCCCGGCCAGGCTAAGTCTGACATATTAACTAAACCTATTTGGCTCTGAAGACAGATGGACTTTCCGCTTTGCTGACAACTTGTGTGTGCTCTTGCTCTCCTCCCCACAGAACATTAGGATAATGGCCAAGTACTACACGAGGATCACGATGCGGAGGATGGCCCAGCTCCTGGACCTGTCTGTCGATGTACGTAGTGGGCGCCTTTGTTTGAATGACTGCAGCCATTCATTGTCAATACCAAGGGACTTACAAAATTGAGTGAAAAAATCAGTTTTGTTTTATTTAATTTTAAGTTTAGGTAATAGTTTCCCCAAGCTTGCTTAAGTACCAAAAAATAGCCTAAATATCAGTTTATAGTTAATATTATTTGTACTAGTTAAAATCATCACTTTAATATGTTAGTTTTCCATAGATTAAATTGAAGTTCAAGGTATATGTTCTATAATAAATATATTTAGGTTCCCAACAATGAACTGTAGAAATAAAAGCTATGAGGGAGACTTGACTGCAGTTCATCTGAAAAGCTCCCAGGACCTGTTAGAGAGATTTTGTGTTCAGATCTGGGTTTCATGTAGATAAAATAAAATGTACAACACCAAAGTGCTAGGCAGTAAGTGAAATGCACAGTAATGGTCTGAAAAGCCATTTCTGTTACCAGAAGTAGTTGTGACAGTTTCACTGAAAAAGAAGAATAGTGGAGGCTTGACTCTTGGTTAGTTCATTAGCTCTTCTCAGTTCTGGATGAGGGTACCATAGTCCTTAGAAGCAAAGTGCCTTGTCCATGGCTACATGGTTGCCAAGTAGCAGAGCCTGTATCCTACCCCAGCATTTCTGGAAACATATTGACCATGTAATACTGCCTTTCAGGAGAAAGCACTATAGGAAAGAGTAGGTAAGTTGCTGTTGGCAACAGGCTCTTCCCCAGGACCTGTGGTAGTAAGTTTGCAGGAAGAAGATTCAGACTTGGCCCTGACTCTGGGTGGACTCAGGTTCTATTCATTCCCTAGACTCTAGAAAAGAAATACATTATTACAGGAAATCAGCAGTTGCTAACCATAAAATAATGAATTTTAGCTCAGCATATTCTTGAACGAAGAGTTTAGAATATGCTTTCCTTAAATTCTGTTTATTATCTATAATTATCTGGTCTTAATCCAATTTGTCTTTCTCTCTTGCAGGAGTCGGAGGCTTTTCTCTCGAATCTCGTAGTAAACAAGACCATCTTTGCTAAAGTAGACAGGTTGGCAGGAATTATCAACTTCCAGAGACCCAAGGATCCAAATAATTTATTAAATGACTGGTCTCAGAAACTGAACTCATTGATGTCTCTAGTTAACAAAACTACACACCTCATAGCCAAAGAGGAGATGATACATAATCTACAATAAGGGTCTCGATGCCCTTAATGCTTTTAGAAGAGTTAAAATGGAAGTCATTAAAAAAAAAAAAAAAAAGACTGTTATGGTGTATATGTTGGGTTTTTTTTTTTCCTATTCTCAGCTCCTTTGTCTTAAAATTTAAAATATAGTGAATATGTTTGAGGCCCCTTTCAACTCCCTGATTTCATTGTTAACTTTTCATTTGCAATTGGTACAAAAATATAATACATTTCTATTGTCTAAGTGCTCAAAAAATTGTGTCATAACTTACCCAAATGTTTTTTTATCATTTGGAACCTTTTTAGCTATTATTTGTTTTCATTCAGCTAACAGCCATAATTATAATAAAAGCAGTATATGCACGTTTATTTTCTATGGTTACCTGTGTTTCTGAACATTTTATGGGATAGTCATTTAAGTGTTTTTTTAAATAAATTCTGTTGTAAGCCTATGAATTATTTAGAAGTTTTTTAAAAAGATTTTTAAATTGACTTTTAGAGAGGAAGGAAGGGAAAGAGAAGAGAAGGAAACATCGATCAGCTGCCTCCTGCATGTCCCCTACTGGGAATCGAGCCCACAACCTGGGCATGTGCCCTAACCGGGAATCGAACCAGCAACCTTCGGTGCACGGGACAATAACCAACTGAGCCACACTGGCAGGGCTATTTAGTAGAATTTTAAAAGCAACATAGGACATAGAAGAACATTTGGGATAGAGTTGTGATTTGTGAAGAATTTGTATTTTAGTATTGTGGCAGAAAGTCCCTAGGCTGAGTGTTTATGGAGGAGCTATTTGGTAGGCCATGAAGACTTTTTTTTTTAATTAAACTTCAATCACAGCTTATTTTTATCCTTCCCCAAATGTTCTTCTA